AAACAAGCATGGCGATTGCATTGCATTCGAACCAACGAAAGATATGTTTTCTATATTAAATATATATATAATATATTTTTAAAATAGGATAATTTAAAAAATACAGCATTTACATGTGTATTTTGACTTTTATTAGTTTAATACAATGTTAAATAAAGTTGGCAGTATTTAGGCATTTTTCATTACAGATTCATTTGACAGGCTTTGGCAGGTTTTTAACCAAAGTGTGGCAGGATCTGTATTTTAAAGATGGTCACACTGCTCATGACTCTGTAACCGATTTTGAATGACAGGTCGGTGCAAGTCGGCGCGCAAGAAATAATTGAGATGAAAGAAAGCTTGTAGATTTTTTGTATATTTTTAGATTATAATAGTGTTAATTTGTATAATTTATAGTTTTCCAAAATGATTTCATGTTCCGTTAGTGACTGTGGTATCAACAATAGTAGTAATCCTGATGGTTGCACATTTCACATGTAAAATTCGCAAGACGTCGTCAATAATAAGACACGTCTATTTTTGCTTAAAATTTATGTTATATACTGTTTAAAATATGTAATATTTTCAATTATTTTATTAATTTTGATATTTTGCAAAGAAAAAAGTCACATTGTTGATAATTTGTATGATTCTGGTGAATTCATTTTTAAACAAAATATTTTACATTTACGCTAGGGATTGACTCAACTATATCAAAATTAATGTCGATATTTATCTTTAATGTGTATAAAGAATCGATAGACTTTTATACACAACAAAAAGAAGAATGAAATTAAATGCTCGATTTGCGTTCTAAAAACAAAATTTTATTTTGCCGTTTGTCAAACAGATTCCCTCTGGATCCTTTAGTTAGAAAAGAATGGTTGGCATTAATTGGGCGGGTTGGTTGGAATCCTTAGAAGAACTCTACAATTTTGTAGTAAACATTTTATTGAGAAATATATAAGAAAAAGCAGAGTAAATACAACTTTATTAAAAGGAGCCATTCCTACATTATTTGTACCAGTAAGTATATTTTTGTTACAATAAAACTTCTTTTTTTTATAGGATGGGGTGACAAACGAGCACACAGTCCACCTGATGGTAAGTGGTTGCTGTGGCCCATAGACATCTACATCTATCCTCGTTTGCGAATCAAAATGCAGATGCGTTACCACCCGTGAGGACTAAGATGGAATGCCTCTTTTCCAGTAAAATGGGTCTCCGGTTCTCTACACTTACCATACGAAACACAGCAGTGTTAAACTGCTATTTTACGCTGGTATAAAAATTTAACTTCAAAAACTAGGTAAAAATAGAGATAGATTTTTAAACATTATAAAACTCTATCTCTATTATTATATATTTTCCCCAATGGGTTGTACGGAGCTTTGGAATATATTCCTAAGTTACAATGATAAAACTTTTAGCGTAGTTAGGTATGGTTATTGAGTAATGCTCATGAAGCGCCACTAGATGCCATGAGGCGCGCGATTTAGTGTACCAGGATAGTATAAATTCGAAAGTATTTGATACGCGTAACGTTTGATGTCCGATTCATGCTTGATGCTCGATGACAGTGTGCCGAGGGCTTTATAGTGTGGTTCATTGCCTACTGCGTTACTCGTAGAGAAGAGGAACTCGTAGTTAAGTAACAGTTGCGTAGATCAATAGATCTGCAAGATAAAGGTGCACTTGCTGCGGTCGGTCCATGTGTGGGTGACCGTTTTCTTAACATACTGCGATTGAGAGAATAGAAGAGTGCATCTGTATCCTCGGACACTTGGTGCACTTTAATGTCTTCAGCGTATTTGACTTGTCTATGTTAAGATCATTATATTTTTTAAATTCATGCAGCTAAAATGATAATAAATTTATTATTACTTTATATTTTTCAGGGACAGATGAAAGAAAGAGTAGCCTCATCATATGTCACTCGTGACATAACCCCTCCACCTTTGAAATCACAAGAAAGAAGTGATCAATTTACACCAAGAAAAAAAAACTTTTATCAAAAATCGAGAACTTAAAACAAAAGCTGAAAGAAAAACAAAAGAAAATACAGGCTACAAAAATTGTTACATTGCAAAACGTGCTGGAAGAAATTCATTCAAGACCAGGATTGAAAGATCACTATCGCGATATCACCATGGCATGTAGCAATGAATTGATACAGAATTTAATTAACAGGTTTAATGATAAAAAATGTGGTAAAATAGTGTCTGAATCCAAATATAACGAAGAATTACGAAAATTTTCTGTCACAATACATTTCTATATTCCAAGAGCATATAATTATTTACGTGAAAAATTTGATTTGTGTCTTCCACACGTTAACACATTGCGTACCTGGTATGGCCAGACTAGACTGTGAACCTGGTTTCACTCAAGAATCTTTAAACACCATTAGAGAAATGAGAAAAAAGAAGCCTGATCTAAAACTATGTCTCACTTTTGATGAAATCAGTATACGTGAATACACTTAATGGGTAGGCCAGAAGCATTATGGACAAAGTTTCATGATGCATCAAACACTTCTTAAAAAATGCGTCATGAGCTCTCGGATCAATATAGGCGTTCACTGCTGGTTTCTCTCGAATCTCATCGGGCGGCTAGGGTTTATGCGGTCGTTCGCGCTCCGAGCAGTGTTCATTATTTTAATTTTTCATTATCTCTTAACCTATGCGTCCAAATAACATGCTATAAAGAGCAAAATGTATCTTCATAAAATTGTCTTGATGATGAAGTAACTTTCATTCGTAAGGGTTAATATGCCATACCTAATAATAACGCTCATAAATTACTTTTTCATTTTCAATAATATTTTTTAACAAAATAACTTATTGTGCCTTATGTATAAGAAATAGGCATGTGGCGGGTGGAAGGAAAAGGGTAGATCTACCGCCGGGCAATGTGTTCTACCCGGGGAGTGGCCAACGCTCCGATTGGTAGTTCGGAGCTATTCTATATATGCTGCTTTTAGTTTGAAACTTTGTTAGTGCGATTTAGGCTTCGATGTTTCGCTTGTGGCGCGACGACTTCGCCGCCACAGACATATGATATCGCAGACTTTTTTTAGATGGAGCAAAGACCAATATTTTTGTAGAACATTGTATTTACGTAATACTAAATGTTACGCTAGCGCACGTGGATAAAGCAGTTAGAGAGCGCCTTTTCTTCAGACTTGCTTAATAAAAATCAATATATAAGGTTAGCTGATAGTTATATGCTAGATAGCCTATACTATTCCTCATGAATCTGGCTATTATATACAAAAATTTTAAATTTGAACTGGTAGTTCCAGAGATTAGCGTGTTTAAACAAACAAAATAACTCTTCCGCTTTATTATATTAGTATAGATTAAATGATTTTGTTTTTTTGTTTCTGTTTCCGATTCTGTTTTATAAATATTAAAGGTAATAATTATATAAAAATTAAAGCAACCATTATATACTCCGTGTCCTCGTTTTTTATTTTACCAGCAAAACATTTTATAAAATTATCTACCTATTTATATTTGATTAACATTATGTTGAAAAAGAAATAAATTCAGAGGAAATTGTTAATGGCATCAAATATTTTTCTCCAAAGATCAAAAATATAACTTTCCGATCTGCTTGTTGGAGAAAATTGTTTCATTTTATCGGTAGACTTACCTTGCCTCTTCAGATATTATTGCAATTTTGTACATTTTGAATTAAAGTCCAACAAAAGGCAAGTGGTGCCGGTGAAAGAATTTCCACTACCCAATATCGTCCCATGTGTTTCATAAAAGGCGACAAAGGGAAACTGAAAGAGGCGATGGGCAGCAGCCGTCCCATGTGTTTCATAAAAGGCGACAAAGGGAAACTGAAAGAGGCGATGGGCAGCAGCATCTTCCTGATAACAACTAGAAATAATAAAAAACTGGGGTTGACAACCCGCTGTCCAAGCGATGGCAAATATCCCCTATGAGGCAATCTAAAGGGAGGCCCATGTTGAGCAGTGGATTTTATAGGCTGTAATGGATTATGGATGATGGAAAAGGCAGGTGGCTGCAGCTTATTTCCGGGAACATGTTATTTGAATATTTTTAGTTATTTTAAAACTATCATGGTAAAAATTTAGTTAATTTTTAATAAAATAGTTTAGTGCACAAAAGTTATTCAGTTCTGTGCACTAAACTATTTTTTATTAGTGTTTATACCGGTGTCTGAACAAAAATTTTTCGATAGCCCTTTTAAGTAAAATGTACATCACTAGCCAACTCACACAATAACAAATCAAAATTGGTCACGCGTTTTCGGGCTGTCAGGTCGTCTATACGCCAGTATATCCTAAGTCAGTGGTGGAAACAGACCAGACCATGTTTTTTTTTTATTTATTTGATTGCTAATGTTTTTCCTTTTTTCGTTTCGACATTTATTGTGTTCTTGTTGGAGAGCCTATTAAAGTCAACTGCTGATGCTAAACATAGGCCTCATCCATAGATTGCCTCATAGGGGAGGATATTTGCCATAGTTGCCACGCTTGGCAAGCGGGTTGGCAACACAGTTTTTTTTTTCTTAGGAATACGGTGCTGCACGTCTTCTGATTTGTTTCTTTCTGTTGCCTCTAAGACACGGGATGATATGGGGTAGTGGATATTCTTATATCTATATATTATATCTAGGCGACGGAGGAAATATACCAGATGGGCAGCAACGTCTTCCTAATAATAACAAATAAAAATAAAAAACCGCGGTTGCCTACCCAACATGCATGGCAACTATGGCAAATATCCCCTCTATGAGTCAATCCGTGGGGGAGGCCTATGTTCAACAGCGGACTTTTATAGGCTGTAACGGTAACGATAAAAGTCGAAACGAATAAATAAAAATATAAACTAATATGACCACTCGGTACATATTTCAAGGTTCGATTTCACTTGGTTGCTTCTTTGGTTTTTGAATTAGCTTTTTCAGAATAAATGCAGTTTCAATTAGCACATATGACACGGAAATGTTTTTCTACTCATTCTACAGTTACATAAGGAACTCATGACAAATGGATTTTTATCTAGTATACTTTTACATTTATATACAACACATTTACATAATATTGCACATATTTTACCAGATCTCTCACAAAAAAGGTTCTGCTCAAGTGTGTGTTTTCATATGCCTTTGCAAATGACTTTTACGAATACATTGATATTTACAGATATGACACGAAAAAGGTTTTTCTCCAGTATGTATTTTCATATGTGTTTGCAAACTACTTTTGTAAGTACATTGATATTTACAGATATGACACGAAAAAGGTTTTTCTCCAGTATGTATTTTCATATGCTTTTGCAAATAACTTTTTCGAATACATTTATATTCACAGATATTACATGAAAAAGGTTTTTCTCCAGTATGTATTTTCATATGTGTTTGCAAACTACTTTTTCGAATACATTGATATTTACAGATATGACACGAAAAAGGTTTTTCTCCAGTATGTATTTTCATATGCCTTTGCAAATTACTTTTTTCTACACATTTATATTCACAGATATTACATGAAAAAGGTTTTTCTCCAGTATGTATTTTCATATGTGTTTGCAAACTACTTTTTCGAATACATTGATATTTACAGATATGACACGAAAAAGGTTTTTCTCCAGTATGTATTTTCATATGTGTTTGCAAACTACTTTTGTGAATACATTGATATTTACAGATATGACACGAAAAAGGTTTTTCTCCAGTATGTATTTTCATATGTGTTTGCAAACTACTTTTGTGAATACATTGATATTTACAGATATGACACGAAAAAGGTTTTTCTCCAGTATGTATTTTCATATGTGTTTGCAAATTACTTTTTCGAATACATTGATATTTACAGATATGACACGAAAAAGGTTTTTCTCCAGTATGTATTTTCATATGTGTTTGCAAACTACTTTTTTGAATACATTGATATTTACAGATATGACACGAAAAAGGTTTTTCTCCAGTATGTATTTTCATATGCCTTTGCAAATCAGTTTTTCGAATACATTGATATTCACAGATATTACATGAAAAAGGTTTTTCTCCAGTATGTATTTTCATATGTGTTTGCAAATGATCTTTTCTAATAGATTTATAATCACAATTATTACAACAGTACACTTGTTCAGCGACGTGCGCTTTAAGATGTGCCAAAATGCAACGTTTTTGAGTTGTTTTAAATTCGCAAATATCACAATTAAATATTTCCGTTAGTTGTGGTACTGAAGTTAGTTCAACTTGTGTCCGAACTGCAGTGGTGTTCTTTTGGTTCCTTTGCGTCTTATGACTGTATGAAATGTGTTTGGCGAGAATGTCTTTTGTTGAAAATTTTTTGCTACAAGCATCACATTCAAAAATGTATTTTGTTGATGCCCCTGACGTTTTTTTCGTAAGTATATTTACACTCTTTTGTTTCAATATTTTCTTTTTCATAATCTTTGCAGGATGCTTTCCTTTTTTATTAATTGGTTGATTATCTTTTTTGACTTTAGGCTTTGATTTAATAGTAGGGCTTTCTAAATCGAGGTTTCCTTTACGAACATCGTTTATGTTACAATCAGTAGAATTTGATTTAATCTTGCTCTCAGACGCTTTTGAAAAATGATTTGTCGGTATGATGTATGGTTCTGAAATACATACAAATTGAACATTTAATTTATTATAAGTAAAACTTTTTATTGTAAGACACCTTAAACGCATTCTCTATCAGTCAACCAGGGAGAAATGGATAAATTATAAAATTACATAATTATACAATGTTGCTAGATATAAAGTATTTTACTTTTAATAATGTCTCTCATATTCATTTCTGGAGGGAAAGAATGGTAGAGAAACTAAATTCGAATGACAATGATGACGTTCTTCTCACCATGTCACAATTACCTACATTAATCTAATAATAGATGCTTCGAATTGCACACGGGACAAGCATTATACAGAATGATTCGAAGATTGACTTGTTGATTGAAGAAGATCATTTAGGACATAGTTATTTTAGACAAAGTCTGACTATACTTTTTGTTTTTGGTGATAAAACTAAAAATTTTACAGTTAATTGCTAATAATTGCCAATTTAATTAATGTCTGTTTTTTTTTTAAATTTAAGTAATGAATAAGAAATCTAAGAAAACATAGTCTCAGCATCTGTGTCATCACTATACATATTTTTGTACAGACACTAAGTTCACGAAAATTTTCTACGATTTAAGGAAACATAATTAACATTATAAATAATAAACATTTTTGACACTACGTTAAAAAAAAAATCTGATGGTACTTTAATTTATTGTTAGAACCTTTTTGAAAACATGCTTGGTTATTACTCTTTCATTTGAGGTATAACTTACACGCATTTGTTACAAATTTTTCAATTGTCCCCTAAAACCAGATTGAGGTAGAAAATTTAAATTTTTAGGCAGACTAATAAAAATTCTGATTAACTAAATTATCGAAAATTGAAGTTGTCAAGGTGTGAGGTGTACAAGTGTCGTTCTGTTTTAGGCTATTTCGTACTTCTGAGAGCTGTTGATTTACTTTTTTGTTTACTATTTCTGGTGGTGTTGGTTTTAGTAGTTATAAATCCGTAAGTATTTAGTAATTGTGTTGTTGTATATATATGTAAGTAGTTAAAATAAAATGGAGGAAGATCCTCCCGATCCCGACGGGGTTACATGTGACTCCCATGCGGGTACCAAAAAGAAAAATATGCCTATCGAGATCGATCAGTCGAATCGTAAAAGATCGCAAGCAACCAATAACTCAGTTCATCCACAGAAAAGATTAATTACAGATCCATCTCAACCTGTACCATCTATTCAGACCTCTTATACTCATCCTGACTACATTGAAAAAAAACATAAATACTCTAATAACGACAGTGCGCCCTTTATTGTACATGTAAGTAAGATAGTAGATGATTTATCATCTGGAGTAGTTTTAAAACCGATAAAGTTTGGTCATTTTCTCTACCATAATAATATTAAAAATGTTGTTAGCGACGGTGTTAAGCGAGTAGGGCGCAATAGAATCTCAGTTGAATTTAAAAGTGCAGCAGATGCAAATTGCTTTATTGAGAACCCAGCCCTTGCAGGTGCTAAATATGATGCTGTAATCCCTTCTTATAGTATCACTCGCATGGGAATAGTGAGGCAGGTCCCTGTAGAATGGACATTAGAGGAACTCATTTCATCAATCGAGGTCCCAGCTGGTTTTGGCTCAATCATTAAAGCTCGCCGATTTAATAGAAAATCACTTAATGAAAACCAAAGCACTGTGTGGATTCCCTCTCAAACAGTCCTTTTAACTTTTTCCGGCCAGAAACTCCCTTCTAATATTTATTGTTTTTACAACTCAATGCCCGTTGAGCCCTACATTTTACCACTTATTCAATGTCACAAATGTTGCCGTTTTGGACATGTTACCTCACAGTGTAGATCATCTTCCCGTTGTTTTGTGTGTGCTCAAAATCATGAGGGTATATCATGCACAAGACAGTCTCCCACTTGCCTTTTTTGTTCAGGATCTCACACAGCTAAAGATCCCTCCTGCCCTGAACACTCTAGGCAGCGATCTATTAAACTCACAATGTCACAGGAAAATATTTCCTATCTAGAAGCATCTGCTCGTTTCCCTCAAGTCCGTAGATCCTATGCAGATACTGCTAGAACCCTTCCTTCATATGAGCATCAGACTTCCTGTCCTATTTCAAACCCTCCTTTACCTTCAGTTGTCCCCTCACAATCTCATTCTTACAGGAAGACTACATTCACTCCAAGACTTTCGCCAAATCCAGCATCTAGTCATGGATATGATAAATCTGCCCATGAGGCAATAATAAATACCCCTCCTTCTTCATCTACTAATGGTTGTGCTATAATAGGGCGAAGTATTTCCCCTAATGATAATCTCTGCGAACTGATGGTCTCCATGCTTATAAGTATGCTTTCCCGTTTCAGCGACATGGATCTCCCACTCGCCCTCCGCCAAAAACTTACTGAGCTCATTTCCTTAACAAATAACCTTCCCTCCAATACTTCAGTGGAACTGCCGGAGCATTAAAAATAAGAAAAACGAACTAACATATCTTATTAATAAATACCATCCCCTTATCCTAGCCATCCAGGAGACATGGCTAAAGCCTGGCTCCCATTTTAGGGTCTCAGGCTATTCATGTCTCAGGGATGATAGAAGTGATGGTCATGCTGGCTCTTTCATTCTTATCTCAAAATCAATTACTTATACATTAATTTCCCTTCCTTCTCATAGTCCTTCAATTAATGCTGTTGCAGTTAGAGCTCATAACATTTCTTTCCTTTCTATTTACATTCCCGAACCTAATCTAAATATCTTATCGGAACTTACGAGGATTATATCCTCCATCCCTCCTCCTATGGTAATTCTTGGTGATTTTAATATGCACCATACTTTATGGGGTTCCCATTTTTGTGATCCCTGGTCTTTTACATTCTTAGACATCATTGATGATTTAGATCTCTGCCTCCTTAACGATGGTTCACCTACACGTAGAGTTTCCCCCCTCCAAAATCCTAAAAGTGCAGTAGATCTGTCACTCTGTTCTCCTGCCCTGTCATCCCTTCTTTCTTGGAGAATATTACCCATTTCCCATGGCAGTGATCACTTTCCTATTGTTATCAATCCTCCTAACTCCTATACAGTCAATGTTCCATTCAAACCTAGGTTAAAATATAACACATCCAAAGCAAACTGGCATCTGTATTCCACAGTTCTAGATGAAGAACTTTCATCCCTCCCTACGGTTCAGAAAGAGAATGTTCTTCAGGTGTATTCTACTTTCAAAAATGCTATTTTATCTGCTGCAAATAAGACAATTCCCATTAAAAAACCTTATAAAAATAATGCTCCTTCACCGCCTTGGTGGGATCAAGATTGTTCTGTAGCATGCAAGAAGAGAAAGGAAGCTGAACTAAGATATTCCCGCTCAATGAATTTTGATAACTATATTTTTTATAAAAAAACTGCTGCTGAAACATTAAAATTACTGTCTGAAAAGAAAAAGGCTGGATGGCTTAAATTCTGTGAGTCACTGTCGCCTAGGACTCATCCATCACTGGTCTGGAAAAATATAAAAAAATTCCGATGTTCAGTTTCGGCCCCTGAAAACACAAATTCTAATGATCAGTCTTATTGGCTAGAAAATTTTGCTAGTAAACTTGCTCCTCCTTCAGTACCATCTTACAATGAATGTATAGTATTCCAATCACAGTCCCTGCACTATCAACACAGTTTTGACTCTCCTTTCTCTTATGAGGAGTTATATTCTGTTCTTAATGTCCTTAAAGACTCTTCACCAGGAATCGATGGAATCCCTTATTCTTTTATTACTAATAGCAGTGAATCTACTAAAGCCCATCTTCTTTCTATTTTGAATTATATTTACATGTCCGGTATTCCTCCTGAAGAGTGGAAATCCCAAGTTATCTTACCTATTCACAAACCAGGTAAGCCCTACACTGATCCCGCAAGCTACCGCCCTATTGCTCTTTCTTGCACCATGGCCAAAATCCTTGAACACCTAATAAAACAAAAAGCCAATTTGGATTCCGAAAGGGCTTAAGCACCATGGATAGCATTAGTACTCTAGTTACTGATATTCGTATAGCTTACTCTAAACATGAATACCTTGTTGGAGTCTTCCTAGATATCTCGTCTGCATATGACAATGTACTTCTTCCTGTGCTCAGGCAAAAAATGCTTAATCTGAGTATTCCAGTGAGGATAGTAAATTTTGTCTCTAACTTTCTCTCTTCTAGATCCATTTATATTGACAGTCAAAATTCTCTACTCCCGCCAAGAATTGTATGGAAGGGTCTCCCACAAGGCTCAGTACTTAGTCCTTTACTCTATTCTATCTATACTTATGATTTAGAACTGTCTGTTAACTCCTTCTGTAACATCCTCCAATATGCAGACGATATAGCTATATATATTTCCCTAGATAACCTCCTTGCAGCATGTTCTCGCTTGAATATATCAATGTCTTATTTACAGGATTGGTTAACTGATCATGGTTTGTCTTTGTCTGTTCCCAAAAGCAGTGTTGTAATCTTCTCTCGCCATAGGCAAGTCCCTGAAATCAACATTCTCTATAATAATGAACCTATCCCAATTAGGGAGAGTGTAAAATTTTTAGGAGTTATTCTCGACTCCAAACTAGCCTTTTCTCATCACATCAACTATGTCTCCAAAAAATGTGAAAAAAATATAAACATTCTTCGCGCTTTATCGGGTGTCTGGTGGGGCTCCCACCCATTCTCCCAAAAAATACTGTACAACGCCCTTATCCGTAGTCATTTAGATTATGGATGTTTTGTTTTGGAACCGTGCAATAAGTCTTCCCTAAAGATCCTAGACAGGATTCAATCCAAAAGCCTTCGTATAATCATCGGGGCAATGAAATCTTCCCCAATAAATGCTCTCCAAGTTGAATGTGTGGACCCTCCCCTTTATCTAAGAAGGCAATATCTTTCGGACCGATACTTTTTTAAAATCTACCAACTCTCTTCCCACCCTCTCATTTCTAAACTACACCTCCTTTTGGAATATATTTCGTCAAAACATTACTGGTCTCATAAAGAATCTCCCTGCTTATCCAACAGTTTGGTAACATTACTCCACCTACCATACCCAGTATCACAATTCAAGTCCTGCCCCATATTTGATATCCCATATGATGCAATCATTTTCCAACCAAATATCCACCTCGACCTTGGTATTGAGAAAGATTGCCCTATAGCAAATAGTAAAGTAAGTAGAGTCATAGATAATTTATGGAAAGGCTGGCTTATTATATACACTGATGCCTCCAAAAAGTCAGATGAAAGTTGTACTGGAGCAGCAGTTTGGATTCCCAGATTCAAAATAATTCTTAATTTTAAATGCCCTTCTATTTCTTCCACTTTTACTGGCGAGGCCACGGCAATTCATGAAGCTTTAATATATATAGAAGCACACAACTTAAATAAGTCAGTTATTCTTACCGACTCCAAAAGTTGTTTGTTAGCAATTTTGTCAAACCAATTCCAAAGTAAATATAAGATACCCTTGATCCTCAAAATTAAACACACATTGTATAGATGTCATCTCAAGGGCATACAGGTTTCCTTAGCTTGGATTCCAGGTCATAGTGGCATCAAGGGCAATGAAACAGCTGATCTGATGGCTAAAAATGCCAGTCGAAATGGTTTGCCATGTAATTTAACTTACTCCTCAGACATAGTGTTACTTGCAAAGAAGAAGTTAAATAATAATTGGAATACACTATGGAAAGCCACTCAAAATATAAAAGGTAAACACTATGCTGCTATACAATGTGCCATCCTTCCAAAACCATGGTTTTTCAAATTCAATAAAGCTAATAAACATTCTACATCAACTATTTGTAGACTTAGAATTGGCCACGCTTGTACACCAGTACATTTGGCCAAACTGAGGATTAGGGATAGTTCCCTCTGCGAATGTGGGTTGGATGAGGGAACCTCCGACCATATTTTTTTTAACTGTCCTAAATTATCTTGTTCACTCTATGATTATCTCCCTCCTGACATCCCTCGTCCTATAAATTTTGATTCACTTTTAACCTACACAAACACTCCTTATGTATATATTCTGTGTGATTTTATTAACACTAATGGTATAAAAGTTTAATGTTTGTCAATACTAACATACTAATGTAGTTATAGCAACCGTGTTTGTCATTTGTTCTAGGTAATTCAACAGTATAACCATTAGTACTACAAGATAAAAGGGGAAAAAATTGGTTTAAAGGAAAAAAGATACTTGTACTATCACAATCTTCTCTTGTATATGGGCATAGTATTTGTAACTACTGAGCTTCTACTCAATAAACGCTTTCACGCTGACATTGGCGAATGATCAAAACCGCCATAAAAAAGAAAGAAGAAGAAGAATAAAAATTCTAATTAGTTATTTGTTGATGCTCAAAATAATTGATGCGATTACTAACACAAGCACGGGCCCGTCGTCTCACTTCTGTTGTAGTTACTTTCAACATCATGGTTTCAAATGCTGAATTAATTCTTTGAAATTTGAAATTTCGGCCTATAGCTATAGCTCGAAGAAATGACAATGAATGAGGAAGTTTTACGAGTGTCAGCCTTGTACCAGTAGACAAAGTGTAGGGTGGCCCTCCATTAGATGAAATGATGACCTGGTAAGAAATGCAGGAAGGCGATGGATTCCTGTGCTTTGTGACATTCCGTGGCTGAGACCTATGTTCAGCAGTGGACTTGTGAAGGCTATAATGATGAAGATTTAATGATGCAATGCGCTCATCTTTTCATTTTAATTTTTATAGGATAGGGTGACAAACGAGCACAGTCCACACGATGGTAAATGGTCGCTGTGACCCATTGACATCTACATCTGTCCTTAATAAAGAATCAAAATGCAGATGCATTGTCACCCATGAGGACTACGATGGAATGCCTCTTTTCCAATAAAAAGGGTATCTGGTTCTCTACAATCACCATACGAAACACAGCAGTGTAAAGCTGCTATTTCACGCTGGTATTCTGTGAGAGCATGGTCCTTCCCCGGTCGAGCCGACCCATTCGTGCTATAACTATACTACTAATATAGCTGCAGCATGGCTCTACCACAACTAAAATGGAATGACCCACAGCCTGTGATTATTCTGACTCTATACCCATCAGAATGGAACACAGCAGTGCACGCACTGCTATTTGAAGGCAGAAATAAGTAAGAGGAGGAGGGAGGAGTCCATCTGGGCAGGCACAAATAGATCAACACCTAGGCAAACATGGAGTCACACCACCTAGTACTGACACTAAGAAGACGGCAAAGATAATTGGTTGCTTACCAGTATGTATCTTAGTGACACATACTAGCTGACAGGGTAAAAATATTTTTTTAATGTATTAATAAGTGCTTTTGACATGCACATGCACATGACACACACAAATCAGTACATTACACATGAAGCCCTCTTTATTTTGTGTCTACGGGCTACAGTAACCACTTGCCATAAGGTAAATTGTACCTTATTTTAATAATATCAAGAAAAGGGGTATATATTACCTGTTTCATGATTCTCATTTTCTTCAAATTTGGAATTCTCATATTCGAAAATATCTTCCTCAATTTTAACGGCATCAAGGCAAAAAATTTCGTCCTTGCAATCATTGTCTATATCACACTCTACAGGCCAGATATCTATATGATAAATTGGTGTGAATTTAATCTCACCTCTAACCTTATGCGGTTTTGGTATTGACTGAAAGAAAATAAGTTTTTCAAATAAGAGAAAAAGCCACTATAGTGGTGGAGTAGGAGAACCCATACTACCCCCTGCCATCCCGCAGATGTAAAAAGGGGCAGAGAGAAACTGAAACATGAGATCGGGGGGCAGCATCTTCCTGACAACAACTTCAAATAATAATAAACACCGGACAAAAGTGAGGGTTCAGCGTAAACTTAAATAAGAATGTACATAGTTCATCTATCCCGAGAATCGAGTCTCAACAACTTTTGGATTCAGATTCACGAAAGCTGTAAATTGACAAAAATTTATCTTTGTTTATTGAGATTTGTTTATATACAATAGGGTAATATATAACAGTATAAACAGTTTGATAATTGTTTTTGTAAAAATAAGTACTATTGCTCTAACAAAAGTAAGTTGGATTGAAGGACAAACTTAACTTTGCACTAGAAACATTCTCCCATATAGCAATGGGAAGCAGCATAGAAAAGTAGATTATGCAGTGACGGTGTAAGAATATCCACTATCACAGGGTCGGCAACCTTTTATCTTTTATATAAATATATATGGTATTATTAGATAATCACTTATTATTTAAGTAAAAATTAAAACAAACATTTATTTACATTGTAAGTCTTACAACACTAACTTATACTTCAAGTACAAACAATTGAGCAAACAAATTCAATGGGAGTTTTAGCTTTGCATGGTTTTAGAAAGTTTGGATAAAATTGGCTCAATAACATGTTGTTTTAAGTTTCAAACACGAATCTGAATTTTCATTTGTTAGTTGGCTTCTTACTTTACTTTTAATTATATTCATGCAAGAGAAGGCTTGCTCGTACGAATATGTCGATCCGAACATAGTCAGCACTCCAAATGCCAACTTCTTCACCTCACTATAGCAATCTGGAAGACTATTCCACGCGTCAAATATAACTCAACACGCAGCCTTTCTTTTAAAGCTGTTCATTTTTGTTGCGTTACATACATACATTTCTGGACCTCCAACTTTTTCAACTTCCTTATCAACTCTAAATTTTCAACTCCACAAAGCTTTACTTTTTAAATCGATCAATGGCATTTCTAGAGATCCAGTATCAACCCCAAATGGCTCAGTATGGATCGATTTATAATTTTTTTTTTATAAAATAAATAATATTTGCGTATGAAATTAAAGAGCCGCAGATTCACATCCAAAGAGCCGCAGGTTGCCAACCCCTGCACTATCCTATATACCTATCTACGGGATGGGTGTCGTAAGAGGCAACCGAAGGAAACAGAAACAGAGGTAGGGCGGCCGCATCTTCCTGATAACAACTTAGACTAATATAAACTACGGTTGCCAACTTGCCAAGTGTGGCAAATTTGGCAAAATCCCTCCTATGAAGCAATCTATGAGTGAGACCTATGTTCAGCAGTGGACTTTTATAGGTTTTAATGGATGGGATGGATAATACCATGGATCCTCCTGAAAGCTCCAGGACCACATTTGACTCAATAGCCTGTTGTTGTAATCTTCTGCAACGAATGAGTCTTGCATGACAGGCGAAACAAACAATTATGGGCCCCTCATTCTCATCCAACTGAAAATATGAAAATCTTCATAAATATGAAATAGTATTCAAATACAGTAGAACGCCGATTATCCGAACGCCGATTAACCGAATCGCCAATTATCCGAATCGGTCCTAAGCTTAATATAAAAAATTATAACCAAGTACAGTAAGTAACATTACTTAGATTACTTATACAATACTTGGTTAACTGATATTAAAAATAACAGTGAATAAATTTTAAGTTTTGTGACCGCATTGGAAAGTGGTGATGGATGTTCGTCACGAAAAGTAATAAAAAAGGCAAAAGATGAACAGCTTGAGAATACTGTTATTACGTGGTTTCTGCAGCACCGATCTATTGGACAACCAATTTCAGGATCGATTTTATGTGAAAAGGCGCGAATATTCAGTGAAAAAATGGGTGTAGCTGGTTTTACTCTTTATAAAACTTTATAAAGTGTAAAACCATTTATAAAATTAATAAAGTTTATTCTATGTGTGACAGTTCGTTTTTCTATATTACATACCAGTCTATGTCCGATTATCTGAATTTTCGATTATCCGAATCAACCCCGGTCCCAATTAATTCGGATAATTGGCGTTCTACTGTATATAAGTTTGCAATAAAGATTATTGGCTACCACATTTTAATTTGTCAACATCACTTTTTATAATATTGAAGTGACAAATAAACTTACCATCTAGTAAGTGACTAATGGGCATCATGGGCACCTGCAACGAACTTCAAGCAATGGCTACAGATGCAATGTTACCTCTGAGGAGTAAGATGTAATGCATCACAGCCTGGCTCCCGATGTCCTTCAGACTGGGACACATACTGCTGCTTGGTGCCAGATAAATGATAAGAGGATGATATCTAGACAGAAAGAAACTCCTACGGTTCCAAGCCACCTACATCAATCAATTACATTACCTACATTAACTTCAAACTACTATCATCACTAAGAACATTACAAATACTTCTCTTATCACTCTAAGTAATCTGATAATGCTTGTGGTAGGAGGATATTGAAACAAAACACAGGGTGGTGGGTGGTACTACACATTCTGTGAAAGTGTATTACCACCCCGGTTGAGCCAACCCATCCATGATACAACCATAATATAGCTCCAGCCCGGCTCTACCACATATAAAATAATGATAATAATTCTTTCTACTCTATTCTCTCATTTTAATAGTCCGATAGAACTGTTTTAATTTGCTGAACAACCAAATCAGGGTAAATGTTAATTTCTTGATAGAAAATCACAATAATAGACATTCAAGTAATATGTACTAGAACAGACACCAGGAACAAAATCTATGCAGCAGTGCGGGTTGCATGGAAGGAATGGAAGGAGAATGTACTAGTAGTACAATTAAGACCCAGATATTTCACACTTCAATAATCTACACGCTCAGCTTTGGAAAAATCTAGTAGACTGTAGACAAGCTAGGGAGGCCCTGCCTGAAATAAACAGTCGTTTAACCACACAAAGTCTAATGAGACTGAACAAGCCGCAGATCAGGATAGTAACAAGTGCTATCACAGGACACAGCAACTTTAACAAGCATTTATTTACTATAGGTGTTACAGATAGTCCCCTGTGCAGGGCATGTCTGGGGGAAGAAGAAATGGCGGCCCATGTGATATTGAAATGTCCGGAGGTCGCTACATACAGGGCTAAACATCTCGGCACGCCGAGATCACTCCCCGAAGTTGCATGCAACATCAAAGGACTGTTGAGCTTCTTCGGGGAGATCTCATGACTCGAATAAGCATATTATTCCTGCCCACACGCAAAATATGCGTATAGATGTGGAGTTGCGGAAATCAGCCCATTGTAAACTATACTAAACTAAGACCCAGATACACTAGGGGCCATTTTGTCCCACAAGATAATGTGGAACACTCAATCTACATGACGATGCTACATTGCACAGTGACCCAGAACATTTTAAGTGACATGGGACATGTAGCTTGTTCCCTCTCCGAGAGAGAGTGCACGTGTCCGGCATCAGTGTCACATCATTTGTTACCGGGTTTAGTTGTGTGTACAACTTTACTTGCAACATGTCAGTTGTGTGGGGAAATTAAACCGTGCTTTTACTTTTTGAACTTTACCAGTGTCGTGTTTTGTTATGGGATACTTCTAACCACTAACTTCTGGTGCTATTCTGCCGATCAGTTGTGTCAACACTCGAAAAGTGTATGACAAAGAAGCATATAAAACTCTAGTCAACAAGTATCTTAATGCAATGGCAAGTCTGATACCGATATGAGGGCAACAGCATTCCATAGTATAGTATCCTGTTTGGTTATGGAAGGTCCGATCATTTGTTATAACGTTTCAAAATCAGATGTTGACATTTGAGTAAAATTCTCAAAAGATCCGTCATACATTCGGAGATCACTTAAAATATCAATTCCTCTTCTTTCTCATTGTAGTAAGGAATTCTGAATCCACCACCTTTTCTTTAGCTTACGTTTCACTCCCGCAATAAGCACTACGTACACAGCACTAATCGCCACCTCTTTGGGAGACATTTCTATAAGCACTGACTACTGACTAGTGTGGCCTTAAAAAAGTTCCGCGGCATGTCTCGGGACATTCCAGGTATTAGTTAGAGACATGTTGCGCAACATGCCGCTCCTTGCGTACCCAAGTATATCCTACTAGGCTTTACTTAAATGATAATACTGATTTTATGGTTAGCTTTCCATTGATGTCAGTCGAGTTTGGTGTTGATACATATTTTTACAGAAAAGTTACACTATTATAAGCACACACACAAAGTTTCAACATGCGGAAACGCGTAATTTTTTGAGAAAAGAATTGTTGAAAATCAATTATTCTTGCAATGTTTATGTCTAATCCTACCATAAAACTGGCGCCATTTTGTAACGTCATTGTTGACGTCAATAGGGATGTCGATTCTTTTCGAAAAAAGTCGATTTTTAAATCGATTCAAATCGTAAGCTGATGTATCGGTTCACAAAAAACCGATTTCTAAAATATCTATATTTTTTAATGTTTCTATTTATAATGTAAATATAAACCCATTTTATGAAAAACAAGAAAGATACCATGATAAATGATCTCTTATTGAAATTTGTTTTATTTAACAGTACCTATTAGGGCAGATAACAAATAAAATAGGTTAGGTTCAACTTATGTCAAAGAACCGAATTGATTGACCCCGACCCCACCTGGTACGAGTCTGTCCTACCCCTAGAGTGGTTTTATAAAGCCGGAGGCGCGTAGGGGGAGCAGCCTCCGCCTGCTGTAACAAATCGTAGGCATCAGACGAGCCGGGGCGGCTGAAGCTGGTCGCCAAAGGCGACCAACAAGCCGAAACTGCGGAGGCGAGGAGGGATGCCTGCGATTTGTTACGCTAAGGCGTAGAGGCTGCTCTTTCCGCAGCGCCGGAGACATAGCAGTCTCAAAATAGATACAGAAATCCTTCTGAATCAGTCCCATTATTTTTTTATGATAAAGGGGATTTTTTTATCATAAAATGGATTTATATTTACATTATCAATGCAAACATGAAAAAAATATCGTTATTTTAGAACTCGATTTTTTCGGAATCGATACATCAACTTACAATTCGAATCTATTTAAAAAAATCGATTTTTTTCGGAAAGAATCGACATCCCTACCGACAATAATAATAAAAATGGCGTCAGTTTCACGGTAGGAATTGACTAAATATTGCAAAATTATTTGATTTACAATATTTTTTTCTCAATAAGTACGTGTTCCCGCATATTGAAACTTTGTGTGTGCTTATAAAAATGTAATCTTTATGTAAAAATACGTATCAACACCAAACTCGACTGACGTCAATGGAAAGTCTTTCCCTACACCTTATCGTACATATATCGGGCATCATAATGTATTTCTCCAGTGATAACAACAAATTATCGCAACTTCATTTAACAATAAATAAATATTAAAAAAACTTACAAAACTGTTCGTCAATGACCTATACAAATTTTGGAGGCCAGTCTCCTTTAGTACAACCATGCGTACATTAACGCTTAAACAAATTCTACAAACTTCACCTTCACTAAAGGCCATTGCTGTTTTCTATAGCTTTATTAAAAATTAAAATTGATTATTGAATTCTCTTTTTCATCAACAAACCGGACTTTTCACTTGTTGTAGGGATGTTCGATGATTATCGTATCGTAGCTTGCTACATATTTATTTATCTATGGCTGTTTTCTATAGCTTTATTAAAATTGATTATTGTTATTGATTCTCTTTTTCATCAACAAACCGGACTTTTCTCTTGTTATTTTTTTTGGAGTTTATGGCCTAGTATCTAGACCCTTAGGCTATTCTCTTGTTATTATTACAATTTATCACAGAATACACACAATTTTTTATAATCACAGAACACTATTACTCCTAAAGTTTATAATGCGCCCAACGCGTAGTGTTTCTATATAGTTTGTGTATTGTATGTGGCCCAGCGTAGGCTCTGGCAAAAAATACCGATATATTAGTGATGGGTCAACTCGAGTTGCGCTTAACTCGAGTTAACTCGATTTATATCTCCCCAACTTGAGTTTGGGCTGCTGTACATGAAGGAATCAAGTAAGCCAACATAAGAGTAAGAGCGCGATTTGTTCGTTGTGTGCGCGCTTTATGTTTCATATAGTATTTAGTTACAGTCAAAACAATTTGTTATTTAGAGATTTATAGTAGCTAAGTTACATATGTAATTTAATTTCATTTATAATTTTGATTAATTATGATCATTATAGCTACGTAAATCACAGACCTATTATTGTAATACCTGAAAAGGGTGGTTAAGTTGTAAGATACATCATACTTTAAATTAACGCCAAACACTTAACTTAGAATAAATATTTTGAATTTGAAAAAGTTTGAACTTATTGAAGAATATTTTAACTGTGATAATTAAACTATTAATAGGTTATGTACTTACATCTTAAAGCTAGACTAATATTATTTCGTGAAGGCTGCTATATAAGTTGTTTTGTTGTTAAATACAGGTACTTTGAAAATGAAAATGAAAATGAAAAATACTTTATTTGACAGTTAGCACCTTTACAAATAATTTAACAGTGGTTCTCTTACTAGGCTCGCAGACCTGTATCGTGAGAGCCATATACACATATTAACAAAAACAGAATTAGTGCACGGCTGACTTTACAAAGCTTTCTTTACTTTAAATGTCTTCCTCATTTTATTTATAGTCTGTAAACATAAATATATACTTAAACACATATACACACACATATACATATAGCCATCCATATAAACATATATACACAAACATACATACATACATACACACATACATATATATACATATATATATATACACATATACACACATACATACATATATATACATACACATAATATAATTTGTTAATATTACAGTATTTTGAATTACTACTTTAATAACAATAACAATATCAATCAAATATCAATATTGGGCACATAACTACTATGACAATGTTTGGAGCAGCTTCTCTGTTTGTTCATAATTAAGCGTAAATAACCAATTTCGTATTTTCTTTCTAGCTGTATTCGTTGAGCAATCTCTTATGTCGCATGCCTTCATAACTTTGTTAAATATGAGTGTTTCTATGAATGGATTAAATCGTTTTGCGAAAGCTGTGCGAACGCTTGGTAATGGCATTTGGAACACACGTTTTTTCTTTAGCTCATTGAATTTATCTAAGCTTTTATTTTTCTATAAGCACTGGTAGCCACACATAAGACAAATAGCTGCCGAACTGTAAGCACTTTACAATCTCTATATAATTTAACTGTTGGATACCTGTATTTCTTATTAAGCATAACTTTCAGGACAGAACGTTGAGCTCTCTCTATCCTCATCATGACTGTTTTGGAAGCGCTTCCCCAGCAAGAAATACAATACGTTAGCAGCGACTGACATAAGGCATAATAGACGGTCATTAATGTATTCAGTGGTGCAGAGTTTCTCAGTTTTCTCATGATATAAACTATATTACGAATTCTTCCTGCCAATACCGAGATATGCGCCTTGAAGTTAAGATTGTGATCAATGAATATACCAAGGTATTTAATAGATTCCACTCTCCGAATATTTTCACAACTACACAAATTCTTCTTAGTTGTGCAATGATGCAATTTTATGTGTTTGTCAGTAGGTGGTGCTGACGAACGGGTCTTATGAAAGCACATATAATTAGTTTTTTCTACGTTGAGAGTTAACAGGTTTGAGTTTAACCAATGAGCAACCTGTGAAATACCGCGTTCCGCCACAGAAATGGCGTCATCCCACGTTTTCCCAGTATATAAAATGACTGTATCATCAGCATAACATATTATTTCTGAATGTTTTGTGTTGAACTGATGTATGTCGTTCATGTATATGACAAAGAGAGTGGGACCGAGAATACTTCCCTGAGGCACACCATAATTAACATTCTGCATTTCACTTAAAGAAGTACCCACTCTCACGCACTGTTTCCGTTCCTGCAAATAGCTTTTCAACCAATCTAAAGGTAATCCTCTGATTCCTACGTTTTCAAGCTTTTTACATAATAAAGGTACGGAAACAGTGTCGAAAGCCTTGGCTAAGTCTAGGAATACGCCAATACAGCATTCGTTTTTGTCAAGGCAAGAAGATATATGTGAAATTAAGGTGGTTACAGCGTCCTCGGTACATTTTCTTTTCCTAAATCCAAACTGTCTTGAAGAAAGCAGATTATGTGCTTCTAAGTAATTCACTAGTCTTTTATTAACCAATTTCTCAAGCAGTTTGGAAAAAGCACTCAGCAGAGAAATGGGTCGATAATTATCTGGAGAGTTTTTATGGCCCTTTTTATATATAGGATACACCATAGCAGTCTTCCAAACTTCTGGAAATACGCCGGTAGAAATACTTAAGTTGCATATTACTGTAAGTGGCTCAGTGATAAATTTCTTAATATGCTTAATCAGCGTATTACTTAGTCCATCAATTCCTGGCGCTTTATCATTTTTGAGATTCGTTATTAGGTGTTCTATTTCGTAAGCGTCCGTAGGTTGCATAAAAAACGAGTTTGTTGTATTTATAATTTTACTATTTCGCACTAGGCTTTCTTCAGTCTTATTGCTTTTAATAAGAATTTTGTGTGCTAAATTTTGTCCAACTGTGGAAAAATAGGTATTACAAATATCCAATGATTCTTTCTTGCTTATAGATCCTTGAATATTTAATAGCTCTGTTGGTTCTTTGTTTGGTGTAGTTATGTTGCATATATCCTTAATTGCTTTCCATAATTTCTTTGGCTGTCCCTGGCTTTCTTGCAATTGATACTTTTCATGTTCCCTTTTTAAGTTAAATAGAAGCTCATTACAGAAATTGCGGTATCTCTTATATGTGAGGAGTAAAATTTCGTCATTTGGATTCTTTCTTGATTGCATATGTAGTTTATCTTTATGTTTTATACAACGTATTAAACCTGGAGTAATCCAAGGTTTTATATTGTATTTAGAACGACTCACAGTTATACGTTTGGTGTGTTTAGCTATTGTTTTCGATAGATTGTCAATAAATATAGCAACTGCCTGATTTACGTCTGTTTGATTTTGTAATTCCGACCAATCTATTACTGCTAATTCATTACTTATCGCATCAAAATCAATCTTAACTTTTTCCCTTAATCGGGGTTTAGGTATCCAACTGTGATTCCAGATCTATTAGGAAACTGTCCGTGCTTCTAAACGAAGGTGAGCGATATATACAGAAAATGGTTACTGTATCAGGTATTTCTATTATTAAACAATCTGCTTCGTTAAAAACTGGCTCTGTAACATTTGAGTTCCATGCGTCTTTGACGTATACTACTACACCACTATTTTGATTG